GGGCTGCCCCGGGGGAGGCGGGGGAAAAAGGGTTTCAGGGCTGGGTTCTTTTTTTTTTTTTTTTTTTTTTTTTGGACCTACCTTTTACTCTGTAGGATTTCCTGTGTTGCTAAAACCTGTTGTAATAATGTGTATAAATCTGTGTGTGTTGTGTTTGAATGTCTTTTTTTTAACCTCTTCTTCTTCTTCTTGTTTTTTGTGTGTGCAGAAGATGGATTTATCCTGGAGAAGAGTGCAGCCTCCCCCGCTGACTCACCCAGAGCCTGGTCTCTCTGATTAAGTGGTTCTCAACAGTTCAACAGTTCCTATAGAAAATTGTGAAATGTTTAGGACCACTTGACCAGCTAGACAAATGCTGCCGCTGGACAACAGCCCGAGGACGGACGTCTGGGACACGGCGTCTGCTGGCTTTAAGACAACACAACACTGTGGTTTCATTTACTCCCTCTCTCTCTCTCTCTCTCCCTCACCCTCCCCCTCTCTCTCTCCCTCTCTCTCACCCTCTCTCTCTCTCTCTCTCTCCCTCACCCTCACCCTCTCTCTCTCTTCTCCTCTGAGTGTGCCCCCTTGTGTTACAATGACAACTGCATTCCAGGCACTGGTGAGGTTGTAAAAATCATCAGGCTTCAGTAATTTAATTCTGCTGGCACACACACACACACACACACACACACACACAGTTAACAGCCGTCTTCTCTGTTTTACTGTTGCTGCTATTCAGAGGCACTGATTAAAACAAGTCAATAAAGAAACCTGTTTGTCTCTGTTGAGTCTGTGTGTGGCGCTGATGGACCGGGGGATGATCGCTGTCCAAAACACTGGCTCCACCCGCTGAGGTAAAAAGGCGTCAAAATGACATGAAGTTCACCTGCGACCGTTCTTTATCTGCAGGATTAAATTGACGGATTCTCTTGATCCAAAGACTTCACATCTAAAGACACAGACGTCCAAACGTCTGTTCCCAGGGAGGAGGATACTTTATACGGCATAAAAGATTCATGAAAAGCCCCCTGCTCCCATTATCCCCTCACACCCTTTCAGAGAGCTCCCCCTCCTCTCCCCCCCTCTCCCCTTTGATCTCCCCCAACTCGCCAAGAACTATCAATATTTGCTAAACGTTTCTCACAAAGCCTGTCCGTGCGCGGGGAGAACCCGCAGAGAGAAGGCCTAACGAGGAGCCCGGAGCCATCTCCCTGCAGCAGACGCAGCAGACGCAGCAGGACGGGTGGTCTCAGGGGGGAACCACGTCCTCCGAATTTCATCAGCGACCCATCCCAGACCTCCTCCTGCGGGGAGTGCTGAGTGACGGACGTGGTAAATCATCTTTACTATGGATTGTAATTATTGGTCTACTCACAG